ATGCAAGCAATGATAACCACTAGCAATCAGTTAATATTTAGTCCATGAATTCTCTTTACTTTTTCATATAAGATATGTTACGAACTGATGCACTAATTTAGAAATTTTTAGAAGAGGGAAAACTTGTTTAGTAAAATTTAAATTGATTTTTTTTAAAAAATAACAAGTAGAGAATGTATATTTTAGAAGGAAGAAATTCTTAGATAAGTGTAACTCTATGAATATTTTAGAGAAAATGAGGCGGTGGAAGTGAGCTATTGGTCGCCCATTGAAGCCAAGCTAGCAAGTTAAGCCTATTAATATCCAAAAACCTTCTATTAGGAGAGGGAGTGACCATAATAATAAAAGAAATTTTCTTCCTTCTACACCTTGAAAATCTTTAGAAAGTGCTTTAGGTATAATAAAAAGAAGTACGAGAAGCTTTGTTAAGCGTGTAAATGAGACTTTTGTACGAGATTATGGATATAAAATGGGATTATGCTAGTGTCTTGAAGAATTTGGCGTGAGCGAGGTCGATGGAGTTTCAAAGACATAGATAGGTTAATAATATATCATTGTCAATTACCTTTATGATGAAAATACTGGGGATTTTTTAGCTAGATATAAAAGTAATGGAATCTTTTGCCCAGTGAAAAAATAAAAATAAAAACTTTATTTTCATTTAACTGGATAGTAAAAAAAGAATGAAATTTAAATTCTGCGAGTGTAATGTAGGCTATAAATGAAATCGTTTAAGAACGTGCAAACAAACTTTCTAAAGGAAGGAGTGATTCAAAAATAAAAACTTTTAAAGAAAAAAAAAAATACAGTGATAAAAGATAATAATAATAATAAATAGGGTAAAATACAGCAACACTTGATATTTGCTAAAAGAACACCCAGATAAAACTTAGCTTATTTTGGGACAAAGACACCCCTCAAGTTTGATATAGTTACCAAATGACAATGAATTGATATTTTTGCCCTTTAACTTTTATATTGACCCATGTGAATATTGAAATTGCCTTTCTAACCTCTCTCTCTATATATATTTATTTATCTCTCAATAATCTGTATATACACATATATAATCAACGGAGAAGACGGCGCGTCCTTTACCTCGGTGTCTTCTTGACCTCACAACGGAGGAGGAGGGCGGTTGTAATACACACGCCAAAGCTGCACGTCGATAAGAACTTGTCGACGGTTGTGGCCTGCTCCTCATCGGCTCATGATTCTTGTACAAAGTTTCGACGAGTCCATGGCAGAGAGCTCCGCCGACGGCCGCGGCCCACTCCTCGCTGACGCATGATCTTTTACAGAGCTTTAGCTATTCCATTGCAGAGAGCTCTGCAGACTCTAGATCCTTCGAATCCGACAAGGCCGACTTTAGATCCACGGCTCGTCTTCGATTCCATCGACCCATAGAGCCCTATTGTCGTCGATAAGATAAGTGCGGCGATGGAGAATGGATATTGTCACTGTCGTCGCTGCATATTGCCGGCCACAATAATGTCGCTGGTGCAAATCGCCGCCAAGTGGTGCTCTCTCTCTCTCTCTCTCTCGCGAAGGTGACTGCAATAGCTAACTGGCGATTTCAAACTCTGGCAAGTCACAACAGAATCCGGATCTCTGTCCCAAAATCGAAGCTCTTATCTTCAACAGTGTGCCCTCTGTTTTATTTATTATTTATTATTAATTAATTAATTAATTATTTTTATTTTTTATTTTTGTAATTTGTGTGGTGATCTTAGACTATTCTTAATTTGTATTTTGTTCAATTATTTATTTTGTTACGTATTAATTTTCAATGATATTGAACTGTGCGGATCGATTCACCGGTGAGGATAATCTGTAGATCGCTGCCGGAATCGATGGGGTCGACGAAATCCATGGAGCCCATAGTTGCCGACGAGGTGAGTGCGACGATTGTTGATTTTATTGTGGGTAATGAGTTAATGGTGGTGGTTGTGAGGGTGGAGATGGGATGGTGGTGGTTTCGGTGCTATATTATACCGAAATACACAGGGGTGGTTGTTGGGGTAGAGATGGTGGTGGTGGTTTGGGGGTGGGGCTAGTGGTGGTTGTGGGGGCTAGTAGGTGGTTGTGGATTTTGGGGTGGTGGCAGCACGGTGCAAGGTTGTAGGATTGATTGGGTGCTGAGGGTAATTTGGTTATTTAAGTATTTTGATATTTTATAATTAAAATTAATAAAATAGTAAAGGGTAAAATTGACTTTTCACATATTTTAAGGCTTTGTTTGGATGACAAATTTTACAAGCGGGTGTGATTGTCCAAAAATAGTCAAATTTTCTTGCCCCAAATCTCAGGAGTGTCTCTTTAAGCTATCCTAATAAATAAGAGAAGTGATAAGTCTTCCGACCTCATTTGCCGACTCATTTTCCGAATGAGATATTTACAGGATTTTATTTTAAGAATTTCAATGTGAGCCAACCACGTTATATTCGGAGGATGAATTAGTAATTGAAGTCGAAATATCTATTATTTCTTAATAAATAAATAATACATGAGTGGATTGAAGGATAACAAGATTAAAGCCCGTCACATAGGCATAGGAAGGCATAGGTGAGCCCCATTTATTTTAGTATTCTCTTTGCTCTTTATTCTGTGTTATCGTTTGGTGAATTACAATCCAATGGTGCGAAATATATATATTGGAATTACATACATACATATATATATATATATATATATATATATCATATATCCACTAACTTTAATTACTTAGTCCTTACCTAACATATTACTCTCTTATCCATTTGATGGAATTATAAGGACTTTGATCAAAATAAAAGGACCAAAACATAATGGAAAAGGAAAAAGAAAGGAATTATAAGAATACCAAAACATTCCTAAAATCTGTATCAAAATTTAGCTAGACTTTGTAGATACTCTCCTGTGCATCAGACCATCCGTGCACAACAGAGGAAAAGAAAGAGAAGCATCTTTCCAAAAGAGAAAAAGGCTCGCGACACAATTTTGTTCTTGCCAAATTGAGGATCCAATAAATGATCTAGGTAGTGAAAGTAGTAACATTATGAAAAAGCATTGCCATTTTCATAGCCAAAATCAACATATAAATAAGCGTCCAAACCACAATTTACTCTACGTCGACAACGATTTTATTGTGTCTGTTGTAAGGTGCAACAGGCGCATTCAATTATTCATTATCAACGTGTGTAAAACATACGTGAACATGTATATTACATGAACTGTCAGGATGCGCGGTGCAACTGGCACAAATTTTTTTTTTTTCTCCTCTATGTCTTTATATATTTGCTCCACTTGCAAGCTTGGTGATACCAAAATGTTCCGTTGAGAACTTTTGTCAAACTTAAAAATAAAAATAAATAAATTAAATATTTTTACGACCGTCTTCAATAAAAAAATAAATAAATGAAAAGGGAAACGATCATTTAATAAATTAATACCCCTGTAGAATGCATACAAGCTATACAACTCATATAATCCCTATAGATTCTGAAAACTTTATTTTAAAGGCGAACAATAAACTCACCTCATTCGGCCATTAATGGAGTGATAAAAATACTAAAATACCCTTCCTACAGTTAAAATAAAAAATAGTAAATTTTTTTAGTTAATGTAAAATTTTTACATTAAATTCAGTTAAAGAAGGATATTTTTGGTATTTAAATAGTAAAAAATAGTAAACAAAATTCCATTTAATGTAAAAAATCAGTTAAAAAATAGTAAAAAAAATAAGTCAAAAAGGGCATTTTCAGTATTTAATATAATTAATTAGTCATGTGTGAGACACATGATTTGTTAATGGTACTTTTCTAACAGTTGACTGTTGAAAAAGTCCTCATACGTAACATTTTTAAAATTTTAAAGAAATTTCATACCCAAAGTAAAAGAAAAATTTTATACCTAAAGTAAAAGAAAAGGGTATTATTTGCTCATAAAGAAACTTAAAATTGTTTTATATATATACTTAACCCTAAATGTAGATGCCTCGATAATCCAATAAGTTAGTGTCTTCAGTGAATTTTAGAGTGTCAGACTTCGACTCTTTGCAACTACTGATTCAGGGGTGGAGCCTTTTGTAGGCTAACATGGGCAGTAGCCCAGGTAAAAAAAAAAAAAAAAAAAAAAAAAAAAAAAAAATTACTACTATTATGTCCTATTAGCTATAGTTCAGCCCAAGTTCTCAATTCATGATAAATGGCCTAGCCCACTAGCCCAGCAAACCAAAGCTGATCCATGAAGAAGACCATACTATTCAACGTAATTTCAAGCATATTTACCAAAAAAAAAAAAAAAAAAAATTCATTTTCAGTTTTTAATCATTTTCTTTTTTCTTCAACAATGTTTTTTTTCACTTTTTTAATCTTAGTGGAGATTTAAAAAAAAAATTAAAATAAAAATAATTTCAGCATTCTGTTTATAATGATATTTGGTAATTGGGTTTTTTTTTTTTTTTTGGGTTATTGTCTAAAAATTTTGGATATCATTTTCTTTACTTTAGGTTAAATTTTAATTATTTTGTGTTGAATCATGTTGTTGGATCTGTGTTTCTTCATATTTGGATTTCTTAAAAGAATTAATAAATTTTTTCCCCAGTAAATCCTCTGCTTGAATTTTTTCTTTAACCCTCTCTATTTTCAAATCCTGGCTCCGCTAATTTAACTTTTAACTCTTCTTGTCTTGTTTTATATATATATATATATATATATATATATTTATTTAGATAGTATATACTTAACCCTAAATAAAATACTTGAAACAGCCATTAAGTAAAAAAGTCATATGAAGTGACTAAAAGTTGACTTAGACTGGTGGAGTGTGATTACAAAGTACAGTAATTTTTTATTCTTTTTGTTCTTAATTCCGACCGTAAAACTCACCTGGTTTGACAAGTAAATTAAGATAATTTATACAAAATGCTCTACCAACCTATCAAAATTTGGTAACATGTACCTAATTGTTTGCAATTTCACCTTTTATTTAGGTTGGTCACTAATTTTTATTTGGTCAAGAGACATACAGCATGAAATTCAACAAAAGGTCAATTCAGGAACTTAGGATAAGGAAATTCATCATGTACTCATTTCGGTTTTTCTCGAAATTGCAATAGGGAAAGTTTCGAAACACGTGGTTTGAGAATCAAGCGTATAAGTATAATATAATATATATAAAGACTATATATGTAGAGAGAGAGAGAGAATGCTCCGATTTAGGGATTTCAGAGAGAGAGAGGGGGGGAGGGGGGGAGCAGTAATAGATGTCTCGAGTTAGGGATTAGAAAGTAATAAGAGAGAGGAGAGAGAAGCAATTTGGAGGCCGATCCACGGAGAAATTGCTAATTTTTCCGGTGAAGGTAACCAATAAGACCTCAGATTCCGGCGAAATGACGGACGAGGAGTTGTCGGCGGACTGGCTTCCGGCGGGTTGGACCGTGGAGCTCAAAGTTCGCAAGTACGGAAGAAAAGACAAGGTAAATTAGTTGGACCTGTTAAAAATACTCATATTTCTTGCTCTTTAACTTCATTTATTCAGGCTTCGTAAAATTTTGGATCTTTGCCATAATAACCCTACTGTTCTTGTTTCTTACAGCTAGAATTAATGCTTTAGCTTCAACATTTTGGTCCATACTCGTACCATAGTCTTAACTGAACTCCATGATCGAATATTTCAATAGTTTTAGAATTTTTTTTTTTTTGTCTTCTTTTTTTAAATATTATCTTGTCTCATGGTGTTCTACAAGTGAAGCAGAGATCTGAAATTAATTGTTACAGTTTACAATAACTCTGTTGAGATTGAGAATGAGAATTATAGCACAGTAATCTTACTCAGAAATATGTGTTAGTGGCGCCTTTTTTATGAATTAAAATTAAAATGCACATCAATAGGCATTTAGCTGAAACAGCAGTAACCAGTTGAACCACATCATTTAAGTATAATGGGTTCTGTAAAATTTTCTTGTATGGCATTTCTCTCCTGAAATCTGCGAGCTACCAAAATTTGAGATTTTATATTGTCGCAGACTTCGAGAAAATGTCTGTTATTTTTCCTTCAAAACAAATATATATTGGGGAATGAAAATGTGCTCGTATTCAATGTCTATCTCAGCCTCTCCTCTCCTATGAAAAAATATCTTTAGGATTCATCTAAACTCGATTCAACAATCTCTATATCCATAGAGTAACAGCCTCTCTTAACCTTTGTATTCGTCTTTGTTCAATTTTTGTCCATAACACAATTTAATTTTGAGAAATTAAATTTTAGATTTCAAAGATACTTCCCAGCTTTTAAATTTTCAAAGAAAACCTTCTCTGTTTGGAATATCACTGCACTTGGTCAACTCACTATATTTGATCTACTTTTACTGTCTGAATGGAGTGCGACAGAACTGTTACATACTCCCTCCGTTCCACAAAAAATGTCCACCTTTCCATTTTTAGCTGTCCCAAAATAAATGTCCTAATTGAAAAATCAATGCATTTTTTTTTTTCTAACATTACCAATTTAACCTTCTTGCATTGAATTTATAAAAAGTAAAACTCACATCATTGTGGATCCACTATGGTTAAATTGGTAATTCATTCACTACCAATACAATAAAAAAGGTCTAAAAGTTAGATTCCCAAAATGGGACATTTTTTGTGGGACGGTGGGAGAGAGTCAACGGATCACCATGTTTGTTACATGTCAATTTAGATGGCTATCAGACACATTAAATGCAACAGTTAAGATCACTGCATTGTGTAAATCATCAAGGGAGACGATCGATGAGTCATGATCTGAAGTGAAAATATCAGCTTCCCATACGCGTGACTTGAACTTGTGTCCTTTGAGAATGCAACACCAAGTTTCCTTCAATGAATTAGTCAACTTGTTATTTGTGTTATAAAATAGGGAAGTAATAAATTTAAAGACATGTTATGAGATTTATAAAAGGAAACACAATTTTATTTTGAAACACGTTCTAACAGTTTGACTGCATGAATAGAGCTGAATTTGGTTCTTATCTTAAATTTTATTGTGTTCAAGAAGGTGAGTACCCTAATTGCTCCTGATAATATGTGAATAAAGAAAGTGCTTTTCTCATGGCATAATACCACGGCTTGTCTCATAAACTTATTTAATTGGCATCACCAAATGCCACTTTTTCATTCATGAGAATATGATTCAAATTGGAAAAGATAATGTGTGTTTTAAATACCTAACTGCAGCTGAGGAGCTTATTCTCAAAGTCTATTTCAAGTTCTAAAATAAAAAAGTTGTTGATATTGTAAAAAAAAAAAAAAAAAATTAAAAAAAAATGGAGTATGTGACATATGTCAACCAACAGCTGCATAAAAATTTCACGTGTATATAAAATTATGATATATATCTCACCAAATTGATAATTCTGATATTTAATAGATTTTGATTTTGATTATGACTATTTAGAGGATCATTGAGGTTGGCTTGCATTAAGGCTTGTGAGTTTTATGCGTGTGTGCCAACATACTTTCATATGTAGAGCATAGAAAGTCATGAGGTCATGAATCATGATCATATAACCAATCAAGGGAGATGATCAATCATTATCTAAAGTGAAGAAATCAGCTTCTCAGTACGCGTGTGTAACTTGAACTCGTGACCTTTGAGACAAAATGAAACACCGAGTTTCCTTCAACCAACTAGTCAACCGTTATTTGTGTTATAAAATAGGGGAGTAATAAATTTAAAGAGTTTTATGAGATTTATAAACGGAAACAATTTTTCTTTTGAAACACATACCAACAGTTTGATTTGATCACAATGAATAGAGCTGAATTGGTTCTTATCTTAAATTTTATTGTGTTCTAGAAGAAGGCGAGTTCCCGACCTGCTCCTGATAATATGTGAACGCATTGTCTGAAAATTTGAGTTCTTAAGAAAGCATCATTAGTATCGATGGGTTACACTGATATGAGTGTTGTTATGGGGTCTCCAGATGCATGTTTCAAGTGTTTTTTGTTGGATATGGGACCTTTCTAAAGGTTCTGGGACATAAAGAGGATGCTTATGGTAGCATTTCTTTATCTAGTATCAGATGACCTTGCAAAATCAACTTTCCACTATTGGGAAATTTTCCCTTGTTAATTATATTGTGTTTGTTTAAAAATATTGGTCAGATTTGGAAGTGTTTTGGTCCTTTGGGAAATCTCTATAAGATGAAAATAATTTTACATTCTTCTGTTCTCTTAGCAATCAAGTGGAATGTTAGCATTGCTATGTATAACCAGTTTTGTTTATTGTAGTGCTATGTTGATCCCTCAAAAGGACTTAAATTCTATTCCAAGCCAGAGGTGTTCCGCTATCTCAACAAAATAGAGATCAACCCTTCTAAATCCAAAGAGAAGAAAAAGAGCATCAGCAAGCGCTCTGCAGAAAAAGTTTGTTACCATGATCACTCTTTAATTTTTTAATTGTTTAAGAATTTTATTAGTATTCGATTATGTTGAGATGAAATGTTAATTATTTAACCAATCTAGTTTGTAGTTGAAAAGGTTGCAGCAGAAGGTTTACCTCCAGGATGGATCAAGGAAATGAAAATAAGAAAACACGGTCGTAAGATCAGAAGAGACCTGGTATTGAATCTCTAATTTTTTATATAGTCTTTTTTTTTTTTTTTTTTTTTTTTTTTTTTTCCTGTTTTATCTTGACAAGGAGTTCAAATTTCTCTTGCTGTCATGAACCACACAGGTCATCTAAAATTTTTCTTGTTTCATGTCCTGTTATTTTTTTTTAAATTTTTTATTTTTTTAGGTCTTCCTTTGATCAGCATTATCTTCTATTTCCAAATTGGTACTCTAAATTTTTATAATTGTGCTACCATAGAGAATCAACAGAGAAATTTAATTAATATATAATTTTGCAGCACTATATTGATCCTGTTAGTGGATATGTATTCAACTCGATGAAGGACGTTCTTCGCTATCTTAAAACTGGAGAACTGGGAAGGCTTGCATTCAAGCCAAAGGACAAAGGCGGCAGTAGTATGGAGTTAGAAGATGATAAAGGATCTGTTAGTTTGCTCATCATTGAACTCTCAATATTATTCTTTTTTACTTGTTAAGTTTTTCTTATTTGTTGCAATTATTTCCTTTGGTCGGTTTCCTTATAAACCCCATATTATAATATGATTGGTCAGTCTGCCTTAAAGAGGCTAGAAATTGAGATTAGTATTCATTCTTGTGGTGAAATAGCTTATTAATTCAATAGTTTTTCCAAAGGCCTGTGTAAAAATAAAAAAGGAACCTTGTTTCCAAACTTTTAATGGTACTTAATCAATGTATATAGATTATTCTTGCTGCATTGCACCAATTTCATACAAGTAATAAAATCCTACCTCCTTTGTATTGGTTTGTGATGGCCTTCGCCATCAGGGGTGCATCACTTATTTGTAGTGTTTGATATCATTTTTTGTGAACAAAATTGGTCAGAAATTTGGAGGACTATGTTAGCGTGTCTGGTGAAATTACTTGGCTCAACTTAAAAAAAATAAAAGTATTTACGTATTTACAATGCGCATGAGCTCAGACACTTGAGACACTGTATTTATTTTGAAATCACCCAAGATGACAACCTTGATTTCCTTTCATGTATTTTCCCCTCGTAAAAGTTTTGTTTTGTTTTTTTTATTTATTTATTATTTTTATTGCATTTGCTTTCATATTAATTTGGTGTTCTGTGATGACACTAGTAGTTGATTTTCCTTGCCTGATAGCATTTGCCATTGTTCTGTGCACTGCTTGTTGAAACCTACATTAAGGTCAAACCATTAAACATACTGATTCATGAGGAGTCTTTTTTCTGTTTTTTTTTTTTGCCCCCTTAGTTGCCATCTGTAGCTGGAGGACAGAAATTAGCAGAAAGCGGAATAAATGGGCAAGTTCTCAGGAATCAAAGCTTTGATGGAGTAGTAAAAGAAGAACAGAATCTTGAATCAACCTCGACTGGAGATTGCATACCCCAGTCGGAACATACTTCTGATCAGGGTAAAGTTCAATACTTGAGCTTGACGCGAAACTTTAGCTAAATACTATTAATGGTTTTGAAATTCATTTTGTTGTCATTTTCTTTCTGTTTTTCTTCTGAGGTTCTACTTGTATTTTGAAATTGAGAGATGTGAGAACTCCACATGTTTCTATGGAAGAAAACTTGGTTACATTAAAATGATCTTTCTCCAGTGATAAACAAACCATTCCTATTGGTCAAAAAAAAAAAAGCACAGAGGTACTTTCTTTGCAGTCATTTTTCATGTTATGAACTAGTAAAAAAAATGTCTTTTTATCCTTGACTGTGTGTTTCTTTTTTTTAAAAAAACTGAATATCAATTAATTCCTTATATGTTAAGGCACATCTGATATGTATTACTGCATGCTGCAGGCAGGGAAGGGGCTGCAGGGAGTAGTGTTAATCTGCCAAAAACCAACGATTTGGAGCAGAGAGGAGGAAAGAATGATTTTACTATTGGAATGCCTGATTCAGCCCATGTAGTTGGGCCCCTTCAAGAAAAGCTACCAAATGGAAATGAGGTGGGAAGACAGAGAAATGGAAACATCCAACATGGTTCAAACAAAAGGAAAAACAAGAGAGAGCCTAACTTGCCTCGTCGGGCTTCGAAACGAATTGCTGGAGTTGAACTCGATCCAACACCAGAACTAAAAACTAATAATCGAGCTCGTCGAATTGCAACTAAAGAGTCAGGTGAGGCAGAAGCAAAAACTGATGAGAACTTGGGGAACATGACTACTCCAGAAGAGCATTCTGGAAAGGTAGAAGCAGAGAACAAGGCTGATGTGAAGCAAGAATGCCCCCTTGTTTTGCCTCCCAGTAACCTAGATATTCAAGAAGAGAATGTTGGACGGGTTGAAACTGTTTGCAAGGCTGAGGAGAAACCAGAATTGCCTCCTAGGAACCTAGATATTCAAGAAGAGAATGTTGGACAGGTTGAAACTGGTTGCAAGGCTGATGAGAAGCCAGAATTGCCTCCTAGGAACCTAGATATTCAAGAAGAGAATGTTGGACAGGTTGAAACTGTTTGCAAGGCTGAGGAGAAGCCAGAATTGCCTCTCGGCTCATCTACGAAGGATTCATGGAGATGCATTGACTTTGCAATCAAAACTCTAACAGGCGCCATTCCAATAGAGGGTGAGAATACAGCTGATAAGAATCTTGGGTCCATGGAGGATCTATGGTCGGACCCATGCATTGAATTTGCTATAAAAACTCTCACGGGTACAATTCCAATGGAGGACATGAATAAGGCTCAAGAGAATCCAGGGTCCTCGTTTGACTTGCCCATAGGAGGAGAACTCTGGACGGACCCATGCATTGAATTTGCTATAAAAACTCTCATGGGTACGAAACCAATGGAGGACGAGAATAAGGTTCAAGAGAATCCGGGGTACTCGTTCGGCTTGCCCATAGGAGGAAAACTCTGGACAGACCCATGCATCGAATTTGCGGTGAAAACTCTAACAGGTGCAATTCCAGTAGGAAACGACGATCTCTGCGTTCGGGATTACATGCAGCAGCGACCCTGCTCATCAGAAACCCGAAGGAGCCAGAATGGTAATTTAGATTTCAGCAACACTGATCTTTGGTGCCAACAATCTACCACGGAGGAGAAACCTCTACTTAAGCAACAGGAACAGGTAAAGCATCCGTTCCCTCACACAGGAAATATTAGCTTACAGAATTCAGATAATGATGCTCGTCGCCATGTTGAAGTGAAAAGTGAGAAATGCCCAAGACAGACAATGCTCTAATGGAATTCGTGTCCTGCACAGTTAAAAAGGTAAAAACTATGTCTGAAGCTAGACAATGCTCTAATGGAATTCGTGTCCTGTACAATTAAAAAGGTAAAAACTATGTCTGAAGCTAGGTGCCATCAGTTATTTTGACCTTACAATTAAAAGGGTAAAAACTATGTATGAAGGTATCATTAGTCCTTGTGACCTTTGTCATGGTCTCAAATTTGGATGTAACTAGCGCGCGCGCGCACACACACTATCTCATATCTACTTTGGGAGGTAGATGAAATACCACAGTGCCTCCGTGTGTTTGGGAGTATTATTATTATTTTTTTTGGTCATTGACAAGAAAACTCACACATACCACACTCACACACTCACTTTTGTTTCTTTGGAGATTTGAACTTTCACCATTCACTTCGGGAGGTAGAGGAGGTATTATTGGGGCCACAAGGCCCTTGATGTGTTTAGGAGTATTAAATCGACCTTAAACTAAGTTTTCTTTTGCGTTTGGTGTGCAGGAATTGAATAGAATGCAAGTGAGATTGGAATGGGAATGGAATAGTATGACCATACTCATTCTATTGTTTGGTTGTAAATATGAAATATGTAGGAATAGAATGATAATAGTCATTTCAGTGTTTGGTTAGACTAATTTTAAATTTAGAATAGAATAAATTTTAAATTGAGTTCTCCAAAGTATCCTGTTAGTAAAAATTAAATTAAATTAACAAAATGACATTCCTCTATATTTTTTAAAAAATAAATAAATGGTGGTAGTGGCGGTGGTGGATAGTGGTGGAGATGGAAAGCGGTAGTGGAATAGGTGGTGGTGTTGGAAGGCGGCGGTGGTGATACTGGTAGAAGGCGGTGGTGTTAGTGAAAGGCAGCAGTGGTGGAAGGCGGTGGCAAGAGTGTTGGTGGTGGTGAAATGAGATAGTGGTGTAGGTGACTGGTGGAAGCCAATTGAGGTGATCGTGGTGGTGGTGGAAGGCAGTGGAGGTGATTGTGGTGGTGGTGGAAGGCGGTAGCGGTGGTGGTGATGGAAGGTGGTGGAAGGCGGTGGCAGTGGTGGTGTTGGAAGGCGGTGGCGGTAAAAGGCGGTAAAAGGCGGTGGCGGTGATGGTGACAGTGGCGGTGATGGTGGTGTTGGTGAAAGGTGGTGGCAGAAGGTGGTGGTGGTGGTGGTGGAATGCGGCAGCGGTGGTGGTGGTGGTGGTCGCGGTGGTGAAAGGCGATGATGGCGGTGATGGTTGGGGCAAAGGAAGACGGTGTCGGTGGTGAAAGGCGGTGGCAGTAATGGAAAGCGGTGGGTGGTGATAAAAGTCGGTGGCAATGGTGGTGAAAGGTGGAGGTGGTTGCGGTGAAAAATGGTAGTGATTTTTGAACTTGGAACACGAGAGTTTTTTGGAAAGTTGATTTTAAAAAAAAAAAATTACTTGGGAATGGAATGGCTATTCTATAACTTTAGTTGTGGAATGGATTTTCATTCAAATAGAATGGTTTAAATTACATGCCAAACAAAGAAATAGTTGGAATGATGTTTCATTTCATTTTAGCGCACTAAATGCTGCATAATTTTAACTCTTCAATAATTTCTTTAGTTTTGGAATTTAATTATTTTCAGAAGTGAAATTAAAATATGATCACTCGGTCACAATGACATTGTAGCTTTAAAAAATAAACCTCCTCTATCCATTAACATTTAAAAGAATACTTTTTTTATTTTTTATTATTATTAATTTTCGGAAGTTCATTTAAAATAATATTTGTTTAGCAAAGAGATGTTACCCATACGAGCTTCTTTGAATTTCCGAAATGCAGTCATTTTGTATGGACTCAATTTCATTTTAAAGAACAACCCAAAAAATAATAAATTGATTACTTTTTAGAAAGAAAAAAAATATACTGTAGTTTTTTTTTTTTTGTTAATCTGTTGTGTGTGAATTCAGGGAAAAAATAATATGTTGTGTGAGTATTTACTTAATTGAATAATTAAAAAATAAATAAAAAAGAAAAAAGAAAACAAATGGCATGTTTTATTTTGAAACACAGTAAGAATTGATTAAGGGTTCATTATCAATATGATTTATCTCAGATTAAATGGTCTAAATTAATACAGCAGAAATGGTGAAAAAGAGTCAATCAGCCTGGTATGGCTCAGACTTAGGATTTAAACATGGCATTCATATGAAAAAGGCCAATTAATTCATTACAAAAAAACAAAAAATTATGAAGTATATTCATTGTCGAATCAAATACTTCCTTTGATTAGAGGGATGAAAAGTTGGACGTAAAGGAGAGGAGGAGATGAATGAGAACATTTCTTCCTCACTTTTTGTTTGATAGGATGTAATGGATAGTAAAAAAAGAAAAAAAAAAAAAAGAAAAAGAAAAAGAAAAAGATTTTATATTGTTTTTATCAATATAATTGTGATGTTTTCAATTTTCGCTATTTTTTTATTTTTTTCGAAATTTTTGTTGTTGTAAGGGCATTTTCGTCTTTTGCCGTTTTATGTGCCGGACACTGTGGAGTGTGCCGGTTGTGTTTGTGAGCTGGGACATTTCATTGAGTCCAGGACTCTTTGAAATGTAAGAGTGATCATTCTTGCATTTTTTTGTTTTTCGGGCCGGACGGTCCCGTGTGGGACCCACTACAAGAATTGTTGCACATGGGTATTTTAGTTGGGTTCATTTACATCATATTTATTTTATTAGTTCTGTTTTAAGTGATTGTAAATTAATATATGTAATTATGGTGTGTATATATTTGTGCGTGTGGTGAGAATTAAAAACAAAAGAAAAAGAGAAAAGAAATTCAAAAATAGTGGGACCCACATGTTATTACAAAACTTATAACGGCATAAAGCCATTATCTCTCACAGCTGCTCTCTCTCGCACGCTATGCTTTCTCTCCCTCGTTGATATATATATATTTTTCTTTTTCTTTTGCAATTTTAAATCTTGATTCCTCCTTCGTTACTTAGTAATTTTAAGAGTCGTTTGTGGCTATTCGAAGCCCACGACGAGACCTACAAGTTGATAGGACCAATTCCTTGGTTGGTGCACTATAGGAAATTCGAAAATCTTAGGATTTGAGGTGAAAATTAGGAGTTTTGCATAAAATTGGGGTAGGAGTGTCTAATTCCCATTTTCTCGCACTTTTGTGAATTTTCTACTATAAATTCATGTCAAGCATGTTTAAATTGAGTTAATTGTTTTTAAATTGATTTACTTGGGTATGTAAATCATGTTATTAGGTGTATTATTTAGTTTGTATAGAATGCAAGCCTAAGTGTAAATTTGACATGTTAATTATGTTGTTGAATTGGCTAGAAATGATATATGATAGCATGTGGAATTCTCTTGAAAACTCTTGTAAAGCTTATTTGAAAAATAATGAAAAAGGGATTTTGGGAAAAAGTTTTGAATAATGTGATTTTATGAAATAAAAATAATTGGCATGATTAATTTAAATTGATTTTTTTTTTTTTAAATGCCTTAATTGTGTTTATGAAGCATGCAATTATGTGTATTTGTTGAATTGCATGGCAAGCATGCCCAATTGTTGATTTTCCGTGCCTATTGTGTTATTAATTGCTAGAAATGATGTGTGTATGCATGTACAATTTTCTTGGAATTTATTATAAAGCATGCTTATTTGTACTAGATGAAAATCCCTTATTGTCATAATATTAAAAGTATGAGACACACATGCATGTCATTGGGCATGAATGAAAGAAAATGATTTGAATTAAAAGAAAAGGGGATTTTCGGGAAGAATTTTGGTAAAATGAGTTTTGAGAAAACCCGGTCGCCGCGGAGTCACCAAAGGGTTGGTGTGTTAATATAGCCTAGAGGGAATTAGGGAGATTGCCCTAGCGTGGTTGAGCTATCTGGGCCCCAAATGACGCTGCGGGGGTACCAAGGGTCAGGGACAGAAGCTAACCCTTCTCTCGTATCGCTGCAGAGTCACCAAATGATGGGTTATATTAATAGTTTGGAAAGTGATGAATGTTTTATGAAAATGGGGAGTAACATACATAACATTACATATCATGGCACGGCATTGTTTATGTTGAATTTGAAATTGATGTTGTATTTTTCCTCGGCTTAACATGATTCCGTTTCCTATTGTCCTATTCATTATTTGGATTCACAGGTCACAAGAGGTGTGTCTTAGGCACCACCTATTGAGCAATTTGCTTTCCCCATTACATTTAATATTTTTTTCAGGACTAGGGAAGGAAATAGGGGACGCCGACCTTCGCTAGCATGAGGAAGATTAACAGTTTATTTTTTGCCGCCTTTTGTATATTTATCACACTTTTGTAAATGTCCCCAAATCATAATGAAGTGTATTCATTTTGCAAGCCATGGCCATATATTGTGAACTATTACTCTTGTTGGTACTTTGAAGGGAAGCGAGACTATGTAAATATTTTGTACTGAATTTGATGATGATGATGGGTCATCTTGAGGAGGTTGTTGATGTCGTTGTTTTGAGAATGTATTATATCTTTTTTTGTATTGTGTGTTCGGACAGGTGGGATAAGTCTTTAAGGGCCAAGAAAGACCATAGCATATTATTATTATTATTATTTGAGCAGGTTGTTGTATGCCCCTTTTTAGCAGAGGTCATGCCAAAATTTATTTTTATTTTTTTATTTTTTATAATTGGTATCAGTTCAGGGTCGTTACAAACTTGGTATTAGAGCAATGGTTCAAATACCATTAGGACGACGAGTAGAGGCCTACCTAGGATTGCATGAGAAGTTGAATTGCATGTTTATATGCTTATGTGCTAAGTGTTTAATTTTTTTTGAAAAGCATGCCTAATTGCTTACTTGCTTACCTGCTTAGGTGTTAATTACTTGTTGAGTTAAAGCATGCTTAAGTATTTAATGATAAGTGACAATATTTATGAGATTAATTCCATGGTTAAATTTTTAAAGCATACTAAAATGATAAGGTTCCATTAGGAGTCATTTCCCTAGAGACTGGTAACGGTGATAGGGTTTGATCTTAGGTGTCTTTTGGGACGGAAGTTCTCATTTTCTTGCGTGGGCGAAAGTTTGTCTCTTAGATTGCTGTTTTGGGAGTAAGAGTTGAGGTTGACTTTGAGTTGGTGACGAGATAAGTAGGTTGCACCTTTTGTTTTGATTTCCAGTGAGGAAGGCAGAAGCTTAATATGATGTTATTTGGTGACTATAGAGTGTTGGTTACAGATTGTGTTGAGCCAGGATGAGGAGTGACCTCTTGGGCTTGGTGGCCTATTCTATTTGATTTCTTTGTTTTGTGGCCCTGTAGGCTGGTATACGTGAGCGT